TGTAGCTCAAGTGGTAGAGCGCTTGCCTTGAGCTGAAGAGCTGAGGGACAGCGCCCAAGCCCAGAGTTCAAGCCCCACGACCGACCAAAAAAAAAAAAAAAGAGTTTCTCGGGGGCTGGGAAGGTGGCTCAGTGGTAGAGCGCTTGCCTTGCATGCATGAGGCCCTGGGTTTGATTCCTCAGCACCAAATAAGCAAAAAGAAAAAAAAGCTGGAAGTGGTGCTGTGGCTCAAGTGGTAGAGCGCTAGCCTTGAGCTGATGAGCTGAGGGACAGCGCCCAGGCCCAGAGTTCAGGCCCCACAACCGGAGCCAAAAAAAAAAAAAAAAGTTTCTCTGACTTTCCTGCCCAGGCTGGCTTTGAACCTCGATCCTCAGATCTCAGCTTCCTGAGTAGCTAGGATTACAGGCATGAGCCACTGGCACCCGGCCCATTTCACTTTTTTATGAACAATATTAGCTGGGTACTGGCAGCTCATGCCTGTAATCTTAGCTACTTAAATAAAATAAAATTAAATTAAAAAAAATCTTAGCTACTTAAGAGGCTGAGATCTGAGGATTGCAGTTGAAAGCCAACTTGGGCAGCAAATCTGTGATATTCTTATTTCCAATTAACCACCAAAAAAGCCCAAAGTAGAGTTTGACTCAAGTGATAGAGTACAGAAAGCTCAGTGACAGTGCCCAATTTCAAGCTCCAGGGCCAGCACAAAAACAAAACAAAAAAATTTAAATTTTCAGGGATGGCCCTCAAAGATGCTGAACAAAATGGCTTTTTTTTTTAAACTTTAAAAATACATTTCTTTTTTATAGTGGCATGTCTATCAAAGAAACAGTTACTCTTGAAGATGGGCGAATTGGAGAAAGACCAGAAATAATTTATCATGTAATCCACACTATTTTATTGGGTTCTCTTGCAATGGTTATAGAAGGGTAAGTGTACTTTATTTGATGTTTGTTTTTGCAAAGATTTTCCCTTTTATTGGTGGTACTGGAGTTTTGAACTCAGGGCTCCCTTTTTGTTTTGTTTTGTCAGTCATGGGGCTTGAACTCTGGGCTGGGCGCTGTCCCTCAGCTCTTCAGCCCAAGGCTAGCACTTTACCACTCGAGCCACAGCACCACTTCTGGTTTTCTGGTGGTTTATTGGAGATGAGAGTCCAACAGCCTTTCCTGCCCAGGCTGGCTTTGAACTGCAGTCCTCAGATCTCAGCCTCCTGAGTAGCTAGGATTATAAGTGTGAACCACTTGCGTCCCGCAGGGCCCATTCTTCATAGAGTAGGTACTGTACTATTGAGCCATTCCTCTAGCTCCTTTTTGTGCTACTTTTAATTTTTTTTAATTTCTTTTTATTTCTTATTGTTATTATAAAGGTGATATACAGCAGGTTACAGTCACATAAATCAGGTAATGAGTATATTTTCTTCTTTTTATTCTTTTGGTCATCATGGGGTTTGAACTCAGGGCCTGGGTGGCTATCCCTGAGATCTTTTGCTCAAGGCTAGCTTTCTATCATTTTGAGCCACAGCTTCACTTCTCATTTTCTGATGGCTAATTTGAGATACGACTTTCTTGTCTAAGCGGGGTGAACCTGATTCCCCGAATCTCAGCCATCTGAATAGCTAGGATTACAGATGTGAGCTACTAGCACGTCACTTATCATAGATTTTCTTTTTTTTTTTTTAACTTCAGAGTCCAATTAGCAATTTTTGGTGGTGATCACCTGTAATGCCAGTACTTAGGCTGATGCTGAAAGATCATGCACATTTAAGACCTGTCCAGGCTGGGCACTGGTGGATCATGCCTATAATCCTAGCTATGCAGGAAGCTAAAATCTGAGGATTGTTGTTTGAAGCCAGTGTGTACAGGAAAGTCCATGGGACTTTTATCTTCAGTTAACCACCAAAAAGATGGAAGTAGAGCTGTGACTTAAAGGGTAGAGTGCTAGTCTTAAGCAAAAAAGCTCAAGGGCTGCATTCAGGCCTTGAGTTGTAGCCCTAGTACTTGCACAGAAGAATCCCCAAAACAAAAACAAAACTAAAGTAAAAACATATTCCATTTAAAACCTTAAGTTGTGGGCTGGGAAGATGGCTCAGTGGTAGAGCGCTTGCCTTGCATGCATGAGGCCCTGGGTTCGATTCCTTAGCACCACATAAGCAAAAAGAAGAAAAAAAGCCGGAAGTGGCGCTGTGGCTCAAGTGGTAAGAGTGCTAACCTTGAGCTGAAGAGCTGAGGGACAGCACCCAGGCCCAGAGTTCAGGCCCCACAACCGGACCCCTCAAAAAAAACAAACAAACTTAAGTTGTGTGTATAGTAATTAAATACATATTAGGAATTATAATGTACACATGTATACATATGTATGTGTATATATATACATACATATAGGTGTATATATGTGTATGTATATAATCCAGGCTATATATGTTAGCCCAGATTGCTAGAAATGGTGTTCCTATCTAAGAGGATTTAAAAGTTTTTTATGTTCTGCCAAATTGTTTTCTGAAAAAGCTGAGTACAGCCGCGCGCTGGTGGCTCATGCCTGTAATCCTAGCTACTCAGTAGGCTGAGATCTGAGGATCGAGGTTCAAAGCCAGCCCAGGCAGGAGAGACCTTGAGACTCCTATCTCCAATAAACCACCAGAAAACCGGAAGTGGCGCTGTAGCTCAAGTGGTAGAGTGCTCGCCTTGAGCTGAAGAGCTGAAGGACAGCGCCCAGGCCCAGAGTTCAAGCCCCACGACCGACAAAAAAAAAAAAAAGCTGAGTACAGTTTTGTTACACCCTCTTCAATATAAATGTTTTAACTCCATCCTCAATTTTTAACTCATATGTCTTACTGATTATTTAATCACTAGATAGCAATCTGTTGCTGAAAATTTGAGGCTAAATAAGCTTCTTTCATTCTTCCTTTACGTTTTGGTATTTTTGTAGGGAGTTTAATTCAGTAGAGAGGAATCAGAAACATGAGGTCCATGGGATATGTGATACACGATTATTCTGTTTTCCAGCTTAAAATATATTTGGACTCCTTATGTGTGTATGCTAGCAGCATTTGGTGTATGTTCCCCTGAACTTTGGATGACAGTTTTCAAGTGGCTTCGGTTAAGAAGTATACATCCAGTATTGTTGGTGAGCTGTTATTTGTGTTTATTCAATATAATATAAAATGCAAATAAATAGGAACTATACTGAATACTACTGAAATAGAGTGAAAAAATACATAATGACTTACAGATAGAAAAAGAGATCCTTTTATAAACAACAAATAATTTTGGATTTATAATTAAAGGATTTCAATTGATACAAATAAAAGCATGAAAGGTACGTAATTGTGGTGGCTCATAACTGTCTTCCTAACTACTCGCGAGGCTGAAAATTCCAGATTAGCCCAATCAGAAAAGTGTGCAGGACTCTATCTCCATGGAAGAGAAGCTGAATGTGGTGGCATGTATCTGTATTCCCACTATTGACAGGAAGCCTAAAAGTATGTTGGTCATACTTAGGCACAGTCCCAAGACTCGGTCCTAAAAATAACCAGTGAAATCAGGCCTGATGCCTTGGGTTGAAACCACTACTACTGCCACGATAAATAAGTCAGTTAATCTAATTAAAATAATAAAAATGAGCCAGGTGCCGGTGGCTCACGCCTGTAATCCTAGCTACTCAGGAGGCTGAGATCTGAGGATCGCTGTTCAAAGCCAGCCCGGGCAGGAAAGTCCATGAGACTCTTATTTCCAATAAACCACTAGAAAACCAAAAACCAGAAGTGGCGCTGTGGCTCAAGCAGTAGAGCGCTCGCCTTGAGCTGAAAAGCACAGGGACAGCGCCCAAGCCCAGAGTTCAAGCCCCACGACTGACCAATAAAAAAAAAGAAAAAAGTAAAAATGTAAATAAGTATGAGTTTGGTAGAAATTAATTTTAATTGTTTCATTTTTTTTAGACCATACTGCGGCTTAAACTCAAGATCACACACTTGTTCTTTTTACCTTCTACCACTTGAGCCATGCCTTCGTTTTTTGTTTGTTTGTTTGTTTTGGTTATTGGGCTTGAACTCAGGACCTGGACACTGTCCCTGAGTTTTTTTTTTTTGGGGGGGGGGTCCGCTCGTGGGACCTGAACTCTGGGCCTGGGCTCTGTCCCTCAGCTCTTCAGCTCAAGGCCAGTGCTCTACCACTTGAGCCTCATCGCCACTTCCGGCATTTTTCTTTTTGCTTATGTGGTGCTGAGGAATTGAGCCCAGAGCCTCATGCATGCAAGTCAAGTGCTCTACCACTGAGCCACCTTCCCAGCCCCCTGTCCCTGAGTTCTTTTGCTTAAACCTAGTGCTCTACCACTTTGAGCCACAGCCCCACTTCCATTTTTCTGGTGGTTAATTGGACATGCAATCCTCATATCTCAGCCTCCTGAGTAGCTAGGATTATAGGCATGAGCCACTGGTGCCCAACTAGTATTTACCTTTTTAATGGTCAGCCTTGTATTTATTTAATTTTTGCTGGTTCTAGGGCTTCGACTCAGGGCCTAGGCTCTATCCTTTAGCCTCTCTGTGCTCAAGGCAAACACTCTACCACTTGAGCCACAGTGGCACTTCCAGATTTTTCTGTTTATGTGGTACTGAAGAATTGAACCTAGGGCTTCTACCACTGAGCCACATTACTAGCCTCAGCTTTGTATTTATATAATAAATGTGTTAGTTTCCCTCTACTTGCTGCTTCATATGTTGAGAGAGAGAGAGAGAGTGAGTTTGTCAATACAGGGATGTTTCAACTCAGGGCATTTGAGTCACTCCTCCAGAATTATTATTTATTTATTTATTTTTGTCAGTCGTGGGGCTTGAGCTTGGGCCCGAGTGCTGTCCCTCAGTTCTTCAGCTCAAAGCAAGTGCTCTACCACTTGAACCACAGTGCCATTTCTGGTTTTCTGTTGGTTATTTGGAGATGAGAGTCTCACGGAGTTTCCTGCCCAGGCTGGCTTTGAACCGTGATCCTCAGATCTCAGCTTCCTGAGTAGCTAGGATTACAGGTGTGAGCCACCAGTACCCGGTGCCCTCCAGAATTATTATTACTATTATTATTGTCAGTAGTGGGGTTTGAACTCTGGGCCTGAGCACTGTCCCTCAGCTCTTCAGCTCAAGGCTAGCGCTCTACCACTTGAGCTACAGTGCCACTTGCGGTTTTCTGGTGGTTTATTGGAGATAAGAGTCTCATGGACTTTCCTGCCCGGGCTGGCTTTGAACCACGATCCTCAGATCTCAACCTCCTGAGTAGCTAGGATTACAGGCATAAGCCACCGGCACCGGGCTTTTTTTTTTGGTCAGTCATGGGGCCTGAACTCTGGGCCTGGGTGTTGTCCCTCAGCTCTTCAGCTCAAGGCTAGTGCTCTACCACTTGAGCCATAGCACCCCTTCCGGCTTTTTCTGCTTATGTGGTGTTGAGGAATTGAACCCAAGGCCTCATGCATGTAAGGCAAGCACTCTACCTCCGAGCCACCTTCCCAGCCCAGTGAACCTCTGCTGAAACCCGGAAACCAGAATTATATTTGAAACACATAACTCTATCACTTCATTTGATGAACTAGATGCCATGAAGATCTTCAGTTGTTCATAGAGTCAGTCCTCTAAAATATACTCTAAAATAACTTGTCCTCGTTTTTTTCTTTAATGCTTTAGGCTCTTTTTCTGAGCATGGTTGTACCTACTATAATTGGTCTCAATTTATGGAAAGAGGTAAGAAAACCAAGTTTTTATATTACTGAAAAACACTAGCTATCATGTAATGATAAATTTACATATGAGGATAGGAAAGTTATTAAAACGTTATTTTAACCAAGTAAGTCTTTCTTAGCAATGCTTCATTTAAAAAAAAGAGAGAACATGATGGCAGTGCCAAACAGTTTTAGCGTACCATCTGATGCATCAGTAGTTGAATGCCATTGTTAATTCAACTTATAATTGATAAAGGAAATGGCTGTGTAAAAACATCTTAATATTTTAAAATATTTTGGTTACTCCAAAGTGTTAGTAAGTCTTAATGATATAAATTCTTTGGCTTGCAATAATGTAGCCTAAAACTAATTGCTATAAACCTAAAACTTACCTGATCTGAAATGTATTTAACATGTGTATGTGGAAGATATAATGCTTAATTGGTTGCTAGTGATAAAATTATTTACTGATTCTAGGCAGTGAATTTTATTGTAATATAGATGATTTGAATTGAGAATAATGAGTAGATCACTGAAGGGATAAAGAGACTCATGACATTCAAGTCAATGAGAATAGTGTTGTAATTTCATTTGTCTTTTGTTAGTTTTTAGAGCACCTGAACAGTTTTAAACTTTACAGTTACTTACCTACATATCCTTTGGGTATTTTGTTGTGCATTTCAGTTTTTTCCCAGATTAATGACAGAATTGACGGAACTACAGGAATTCTATGACCCAGATACAGTGGAGCTTATGACTTGGATAAAGTAAGAATTGAATTGCCCAAGACTATTAATAAGCTATTAACTTTCATTACATGCTACCCAAGGGATTGGGGGAAAATGAAAAACATAATACTTTCCATTGTTCCCATATTCTGTGATTTTTAAGTATACTCTTTGATTGGGCTTTGTCATTTTAATATTTCTTTTTTTTTTCTGCCAGTCCTGGGGCTTGAATTCAGGGCCTGGGCACTGTCCTTGAGCTTTTTTTGTTCAAGGCTATTGTTCTACCACTTGAGCCACAGTGCTGCTTCTGGCTTTTTCTGTGCAGTTTATTGGAGATACAAGTCTCTCGGACTTCACTGCCTGTACTGGCTTCAAACCGTGAGCCTCAGATCTCTGTCTCCTGAGTAGCTAGGATTTTAGGCATGGGTTACCAGTGCCCAGCCTTAATTTTCTAATTAAGTTTACTTCTATTTTAAAGTACAATATTGATAAGTATGAGGTTGGAGAGACCCACCCAACACTAGAAATATCAAATAGGGATAGGTACTCTTAGGGCTTGAACTCAAGGTCTAGGTGCTATTCCTGAGTCCTTTCGCTGGAGGTTAGCACTCTACCAATTTGAAGTACAGCACTGTTTCTGGTTTTCTGGTGGTTGGAGAGGAGTCTCATGGACCGTACTGTCCGGTCTGGCTTCAAACCATGACCCTCACATCTCAGCCTCCTGGGTAGGTAGGATTACAAGCATGAGCCACCCGTGCCTGGATCTCTTTTCTGTATATAGTCAAAAAGGATACTGTTCATTCTTGTGTTGGAGTTGTATGGGTAGTAAATTGCTGATCTGGATAACCATAGGGTTTTTTGTTGTTTAATTTTTATTTATTTATTTATTTATATGGATCCTGGGGCCTGAACTCTGGGCCTAGGTGCTCTTCAGCTCAAGGCTATGCCCTACCACTTGAGCCAAAGTGCCACTTCTGGCTTTCTCTGCTTATGTGGTGCTGAGGAATCGAACCCAGGGCCTCATGCATGCGAGGCAAGCACTCTACCATTGAGCCAACTTCCCAGGCCCTGGGTTTTGATTTTAATGTCAAAGCAGAATAGGGGATCTGGTGTTGGGATCTCTGCAAGCAGAGAACTGGAATTGAGATTCCTTCACCATACAAATATGTAACCTAGAGATTTAAAAGGCCAAGGAAGGATCTAATAATAAAATATCCAAAGTAGCTGTGTCTTTCCTGGTCCAAACAGACGTAAAGAGAAATTCTCTTTGTTAATTTGTAGCATTGCACCTGAATTCACATTGGTTTGTAGTTTGAAATTATACTTTTTTTTAAACTAGGAAGCCTCAAGTCAAGAAACTGACATAAAAAGTGGTCTTTTTCCATTGGTTTATCCCTGGCAATCACTGTCTTTGATTCTGGTATCCTGAATCTTGTATATATATTGATCTGATTTGGGGAAAGGAAGGTGAATAACAAAATGCTGAAACAAGGACAAAGGATGACCCATTGCAACAATGAGACTCACAAGGCACTATGTTGGAAATGAACTCTATAACTTCAGGGGAGGGAAGGAGAAGTGCTGGAGGGAAAGTTTAGTGGGAGAAAAACAAAAGCATGGGTAATCATATTGACAAAATTGTGCTGATTACTCATGTAAGTGTAAGCCCTCTGTACAGCGTCTTTACAATAAAATCAAATAAAAAATAAAAATTACATAGAAAAAAGATTACCAAAGTTTTTTTTTTTTTTGGTCGGTCATGGGGCTTGAACTCTGGGCCTGGGCGCTGTCCTTCAGCTCAAGGTGAGCGCTCTACCACTTGAGCTACAGCGCTACTTCCGGTTTTCTGGTGGTTTATTGGAGATAGGAGTCTCACGGTATCTCCTGCCCGGGCTGGCTTTGAACCATGATCCTCAGATCTCAGCCTCCTGAGTAGCTAGGATTACAGGCGTGAGCCACCAGCGCCCAGCTACCAAAGTTTTTAACTACTCAAAAAAAAAAAATAGTTGTGGGTTGGCCTGGTAGATATGCTACTTTCTCAACTCAGGCTACACAGAATTCCTAAATAAATTTTCATGAGGTTGAGCTCTAAAATTACAAACACAATGAGAAACTTCAACATAGCAAATATCAGCCATTATTTGTGATAAGCAGCTTAGACCCTTAGTAATTTTTGTTAATGTATGAGTGCATTTGTTTATGTAACAGATTGCTACAAAACTTTAGTGTTTACCAGCAATAAATGTTATTTTTCACAGTTTAGGGAGTCAGCAGGTAGACACAGTGGGAATTCTCTCACCTTGAGCAGCAGCTCAGATGCTCCTAGAAAACCTGTCATGACTTCTTTCACCAGTTTAGGATTGGCTAGATTTCAGCTGAGGGGGTCAGACTGATTTGCCCATGTGTCTAGGGGCAGGTTTGAAGGTCAAGCATATTTAAAGCTGTGCCTATATTGTGTTGGCTATTTTTCTGTTGGTCAAAGCAAATTACATAACTATAGTACTAGGAAAAGCTGTTATTACAGCGTGTGTGTGTGTGTGTGTGTGTGTGTGTGTGTGTGTGTGTGTGGACATGAAAATGGAATGAAACACTCAGACTTTGGAAATGAGCAAAAAAGAAGAAACATGTTTCTGCAGTGAACAGTCAGTTTGTAGAGTAGATGCATAGAAATGAGTATTGCTTTTTCTTATTTTTTTCCCCTTTGGTCATGGGGCTTGAACCAGATCTGGGCCTGGGCTCTGTCCCTGAGCTCCTCAGCTCAAGGCAAGCACTCTACCACTTGAGCCACAGTGCCACTTCCGGTTTTCTGGTAGTTAATTGAAGATGAGTCTCATGGTCTTTCCTGCTCAGGCTGGCTCTGCACCATGATCTTCAGATCTTAGCTTCCTGGGTATCTAGGATTGCAGGTGTGAGCCACTGGCACCCAGCATAGTTGTTTATTTATTTGTTTGTTTTTAAAGAGGGCTTGTTACTAAAAAGACTTGTATATATGTTCTACAGATAATGTTCTACAGATCATCCATTAAAACTTTTTGTAACTTGTATTTACCATTGAGGAGTACTGACAATATAGCCTTCCTTCTGTTGTCAGTAACAAAAGAAGTTTCTGGTTTGTAGGCGTGGTACACGTAGTAGAGTGAGTATCTGCCTAATCCTGAGTTCAGATTCCATTACTAGGGGAAAAAAGTAAAAGAAGAAGTTATATGCTTTTGAAATTTATATGCTTTATATTTACATTTTACATATATATTTTATTCATATGAAAATATTGTGGTAAATCACAAAGCACTATAAAACCAAGGCAGACAAATATTTGTGATTTACCATAATATTTTCAACATATAACAAAGGCCTAAACAAATGGATTTTGGACCAAAAAATGGGACATTTTTATCTGATATATGATTTATTCTATCTTATGTCCATTTTCATTGAATGCTTCCTGAGGACAGTGGCTAAGTTATATCTCTTCATTTCCAGAGCATGGCACTATCCATAGTACATAGTAGATGGGTGCTGAGTGTTGAACATATGAAGTGAATAAATAAAGGTAGAGCTGAGAAAATAGCTCAATGGTAGAACATTTGGTTTTTATGTCCAAGTCCATAGGTTTGATCTCCCTATACTGCATTCATTGATGGATGGATGGATGGATGGATAGATAGATAGATATAGAGATGCATTAGAACAATCCAGTGGAGTGTGTTTATAGTTTTCCCACATTCTAAACGTATTTTCTTTCTGGAAGTTTGTGCCATGATCCTGGCTTGAAAGACCATACGTATGTTATATAAATAGTCATGAGTGAATATAGGGAAGGAGCAGAAGAATAGATGGGTCTGGTAGCAGTTGAGTTGTGTTGGTTAATATTTACAAAAGATGATTTGAGAATTTATAGTATCACCACTGAACTAGCCAAAATAGTATATTCTTGTCTGTTAATTTACTGTTATTTTTAATGGCATTTACATGATTAGACTTACTGTTTTCCTGTGCTCCTTTTTTTTTATTACTCCCTTGCACAACTTCTTGAAAATAACATATTAAAATAATTTCTGTATCTTCACTCAAAATAATCGTGTGCGTGTGTGTGTGCGTGTGCATGTGCGTGTGTGTGTGTGTGTGTGTGTGTGTGTGTCCTGAGTTTTGAACTTAGGCCCTCGGTCCTAACTCTAAACCTTTTTGCTCAATGCTAGCGTTCTACCACCGGAGCCATAGCACCACTTCTGGCTTTTTTTTTTTTGGTAGTTAATTGGAGATAAGAATCTCACAGAGAGGGAAGGTAGCTCAGTGGTAGAGTGCTTGCCTTGCATGCATGAAGCCCTGGGTTCGATTCCTCAGCACCACATAAAGCAGAAAAAGCCAGGAGTTGTGTTGTGGCTCAAGTGGTAGAGTGCTAGTCTACAGCTGAAGAGCTGAGGGACAGTGCCCAGGCCCAGAGTTCAAGCCCCATGACTGACAAAAAAAAAAGTCTCACAGACTTTCTTGCCTGAACTAGCTTCCAACAGCAATCCTCAGATCTCAGCCTCCTGAGTAGCTAGGATTATAGGTGCAAGCCTTTGGTACTAGGCTAAAATAATGTTTTTTAAGTGCATCCATAAATTAACTGAATGATTGAAACAGTGTATTATACATTGTAAGCTACCTGCTATTTCAGAATTGATGTAAATCATTGAGCTTAATAGTGTACTTGATTTTCATTGTGCATCTCTTGGTTCTTTGCAGAAGGCAAGCTCCAGTTGCAGCTGTGTTTGCAGGGAGTCCACAGTTAATGGGTGCAATTAAGTTGTGCACTGGATGGATGGTGACCAGCTTACCTCTTTACAATGACGATGATCTTCTCAAGAGAAATGAAAATGTAAGTCATATTGAGGACTACATTTAGTTTTTTTATAGCACTCTATCAATTTAGCATACTTCATGCTAATGCGTATGTTGCTAGTTAGGTAGGAATATCCAAACAGTTTTAGAAGAGCTGATTTACTTTGGTTTTAAAAGTTACATAATAAATTTACCAAGGGATGGGGCTGGGCAGGTAGCTTAGTGGTAGAGTGGCTTGCCTTGCATGCATGAGGCCCTGGATTCGATTCCTCAGTACCACATAAGCAGAAAATGCCAGAAGTGGCGCTGTGACTCAAGTGGTAGAATGCCAACCTTGAGCTGAAGAGCTAAGGGACAGCACCCAGGCCCACAGTTCAGGCCCCACAACCAACAAAAAAAATTTACCGCCGGGCACTGGTGGCTCATGTCTGTAATCCTAGCTACTCAGGAGGCTGAGATCTGAGGATCATGGTTCAAAGCCAGCCCGGGCAGGAAAGTCTGTGAAAATCTTTGTTTTGTTTTTGGGTCCATTTGTGGGCCTGAACTCTGGGCCTGGGCACTTTCCCTCAGCTCTTCACCTCAAGGCTAGCACTCTACCACTTGAGCCACAGCACCACTTCCGGCTTTTTTTTTCTGCTTTTGTGGTGTTGAGGAATCAAACCCAGGGTCTCATGCATGCAAGGCAAGCGCTCTACCACTGAGCCACCTTCCCAGCCCATCTCCAGTAAGACCACAGAAAACCCGAAGTGGCGCTATAGCTCAAGTGGTAGAGTGCTAGCCTTGCTGAAGAACTGAGGGACAGCGCCCAGGCCCACCATTAACCAAAAAAAAAAAAAAATTTACCAAGAAAATCCAAAATTAAGTATTATTTTCTTTGTTTTAAATATCAATACTGGCTGGGTGCTGGTGGCTCACCCATGTAATCTAGCTACTTAGGAGGCTGGGATCTGAGGATTGTGGTTTGAAGCCATCCCAACCCAGGCAGGAAAGTCTATGAGACTCTTTATTTCCAATTAACCACCAAAATACCAGAAGTGGTACTATGGCTCAAAGTGGTAGAATGGTAGTATTGAGCAAAAGAGCTCAGGGACAGTATGCAAACCCTGAATTCCTCATGACTGATCAAAAATACAAAACAAAACAAAAACCCACAACAAAATACCAATACTGGTCAGGTACTGGTGGCTCATGTCTATAATTCTAGCTGCTTAGCAGGCTGAGATCTAAGGATATCAGTTCGAAATCAGGCAGGAAAGTCTGTGAGACTTATCTCCAATTAAACATCATGAAATCTAGAAATGGAGCTGTGTCTTACATGGTAGAGCACTAGCTAGCCTTGAGTGAAAAAGCTCAGGGACAGCACTCAGGCCCTGAGTTCAAGCCTAAAATTTGCAAGAAAAAAAATGTAGGGGGGGCTGGGAAGGTGGCTCAGTGGTAGAGTGCTTGCCTTGCATGCATGAGGTCCTCAGTTCGATTCCTCAGCACCACATAAGCAGAAAAAGCCAGAAGTGGGGCTGAGGCTCAAGTGGTAGAGTGCTAGTCTACAGCTGAAGAGCTGAGGGACAGTACCCAGGCCCAAAGTTCAGGCCCCACAACCAACCCCCCAAAAAAGAAAAATGTAGGTAGGTAGGTAGATGGATGGATGGATAGAGAGAGAGAGATAGAGAGACAGATCTGTATCTCAATAGTGTTTAGTATTGGTATGTTTCTAGGGAAAGCATTCAATTTTCCATAGTTATCAGGGGAACTGATGTATAGTATTTTAGAAAGGTAAACTTTACTTTGAAAACATATTTTTCTCAAATTTTGAAGTAATATATCTTGGTATGCTTTGTCTTTCCAAGCTAAAATTCTGTTAATAGTTAAATCCTATCATTTAGCTGGACTTGTTGTTATGCCTATAATCCTAGCTACTTGGAAGATGGAGGCAGGAGAAATACAATTTCTTTGTATGTGTGTGTGAGTGAGCACACGTACACATGCACACCGGTACTATGGCTTGAACTCAGGCCTCATGCTTTCACTTAGCTTTTTTGGTCAAGGCTGGCACCTACTACTCAAGCCATACCTCTGCTTCCAGTTTTGTTCTGGTCAGTTGGAAATAAGAATCTCATGGATGTGGCGCTGTGGCTCAAGCGGTAGAGCGCTCACTTTGAGCTGAAGAGTGCAGGGACAGTGCCAAGCCCAGAGTTCAAGCCCCACAACCAACAACAACAACAACAAAAAGAATCTCATGGATTTCTCTGCCTTGGCTTGACTTTGAGCCTAGATCCTCAGATCTTGGCCTTCTGACTATGTGGATTATAGGTGCTAGCCACCTTTTGTAGTCTAGGATTGTAATTCTAGGGTCAGACTAAGCAATTTAGTGTTTCAATTTAGTGGTAGAGTATTCACCTAACATTTACAAGACCCCAAATTTAATCCCCAGCACTACAAAACCAAAACAACTCTTTTTTGTTGTTGTTGTTGTTTTTCAGTGGTAGAGCATTTTCCTGGGCATAAGGCCTTCAGTTCTACATGTAGCACTTCATAAACAGCCAAAGCAAATCTGGTGCTTGTGGCTCATGCCTATAATCCTAGCTACTCAGGAGACTGAGATGTGAGGATGGAGATTTGAAACAAGCCTAGCAGGAAAAATCTGTCTCTTAACTCCAGGTAACTAAAAGACACAAGTGGAGCTGTGGCTCAAAGTAGTAGAGCGCTAACCTTGAGCACAAAAACTCAGAGACAGTGTGCAGGCCCTGAGTTTAAGTTCTAGGACCAGCACATGCACATACATACACACAAGAACAGAACCAAAACAACAGTATTAAAAAAAAAAGGCAGACTAGAACTCAAGTATTCTAATGCTACTTTTAAATTTTTTTGTGCTAGTCTTGAGGCTTGAACTCAGGACCTGGGTGCTATCTGAATTTTTTTGCTCAAAGCTAGCACTCTACCACTTGAGCCACAACTCCATGTCTGGCTTTTTTTAGTTCTTAATTGGAGATAAAATTCTCACAGATTTTTTTTTTGGGGGGGTCCACTCGTGGGCCCAAACTCTGGGCCTGGGCGCCGTCCCTCAGCTCTTCAGCTCAAGGCTAGCGCTCTACCACTTGAGCCACAGCGCCACTTCTGGCTTTTTTCTTTTTGCTTATGTGGTGCTGAGGAAT